ATCAGGGGTCTTCTGAGCCCGAGCTCATCGGCGTCAGCTCGTCCTGACCCAGTTTCACGGCTAAAACCAAAACTGAGGTTCGGACAGGTCACCCACCAACAAGCGGCAGAGGGTGAGGCCTCACGGCAGCCCGGGAGCCAGACTCCACACCCGAACCCGGGCTGTTTTCAGGGGAAGGACGCAGGTGCCTGGACTCCAGGTCAGCCTGTCGCCTGGTGGGACTGCAGGGACCATGCAGAAGTCTTCATCAGGACGTGCAGACGTGCGAGAAGCTGTGCACTTACGATGCCGCTTTTACCCTCAGGTGTACAATTCTGCAAACATTCTGACCATCCCTGTGGGCGAGCCAGCCCGGCCAACACCCCACACAGCTGGCTGAGGGCTGTGGGCTCCACCTCTGTGGGACATTTAGGGTTAACCCTCCCGTCACTGTGCGCAGGCCCCAACCCAGCGGTTCGCGTCCAGAGCTCTGTCCTCAGACACGTGGACCAGAGAAACCCTCCTGACCGTCACCGCGGGAACAGTTCTTTAAAAGCCTATGTATCAGCCAAGGACTGCGTGATGCTGACACACACTCAGCATGAAGAAGCTGCTCAGGTATCAGTGAGCCCAAAGCTACTGCTAAGTGGAACAGAGCCCGTGGATGTGTTTAAACGTTGTTCACTAAAGCGCACACTCGGCCAGATGCCGTCCCCCGGGCCCACCAATGTTGGGTCTGAACTGGGGAGCTCAGACAAAGCATCCGCTGTCCAGTCACCTCCACACCTGTCCTCCCGACACAGACACAAGCTTGGGGCACACTCGCAGCTCCCCACACGGGTGAGCCCGTGTCCCCAACACGGAGGTTCACCACCCTGACTCTTCCAATCTCCTGAGCAAACGGAGTCACATGAAATGTTCCCTGGGTTGTTTTGGGGGGGGGGTGCTTACAGAACATGTTTAAGCCTTTTAAAATTTTAACATGAAAATATGCCAAAAATTCTCTGAGACTTGTTTTCGAAGGCATTAATTTAAAGCTGCTAAATCCTGTGTGTTCCAGCCCAAAGCCCTGCAGCCGTCTCCCGGCACCGGCAGAAACCCCACCTGTGCATCTCGTGGCTCTGCCTGCACCACGCGGGGGGCAGAGGTGCGGCCGTCAGGAGAGGCCCAGGAGCCAGTTTGGCATTTAACTCAACAGCCTCAGCAATGACTTTTCCCAGCTGCAGAGCTGGACCTCAGTGCCCCGTGACACTACGCAGGGAACAAGTTCAGAGGGGTCACAGCAGAAAAGCAAACGTGTGACTTTAAACAGACAGTTACACGGACACACAAGTGCTTCCTGGTAGCCCCACAAAGGAAAAGATGTAACAATACTCCCCATGGAAAAGAAGGGAGAGGGCAAGACCTACACTTAGTATCCAGAGATCTTCTACTGTAAGCACAGAGTTTTTAATAAAATAAACATCAGACTCATGGAAACTTGTTGCTCTCTCCTTGTTGTTAAATAACTGCACTGAAAGTCTCGCCTTACAGGCCTGTCTTACTTTCCTGCGACAGCGCTGCCGCACGAAAGTTCACGGCCTGAGGAGCAGCCCAGAGACACTCATTTCTCCAGCGTCCAAACTAGTTCAGTAACAGCGAAGTTCCTGAGGCCACACGATTCTGAAGGCCTCACATGTCACACTTATTAGAACCTAACATTAAGCTCCTTTTTCTTTCAATAAGCAGCGCAGACGAGAGCTGTGTGACCTGATTTCCACGGGAGTCGGGCCACCAGCTCTCAGGGCGGACTGTGCACCTGTCCACACCCGGGCCAGTGGCTCCCAGCTGCCCGTCGGGTCCGAAACAGGCTGCCGGACCTGGGCGCCGGGCGGCAGGGCTCACGCTGAGAACCGAGAGGTCGGAACCCGACACTTTGGCTCCACCCTTCTCGTTCACTGACTCCTACTCACTCCAACTGGAAGTTACGTAGGCAGAAGTGTGAGGGTAGCTTGTCACAGAGGGTCGAATTTAATTCTAACAGAAACTGGCTTTGGGATAAAGACCAATCCTCTGAAGGAATGAACTACATTTTGAGGATGACTAACCTGTGACCATGAAAACACCACCAGTTTATCTGTACCAAAGATTTTCAACACATGAAACTACAGATACCCTTAATACAGTGATACCTCGGTTCTCGAACATAATTCGTTCCAGGAGGACGGTCGAGAACCAAATTGTTCGAGAACCGAAGCAATGAAACCCAATAGGAAATAATGGAAACTGGATTAATTCGTTCCAAGCCCCAGAAAATGCCTATTTACTGGCCTAATTTGTATATAATATGTAGAAAAACATAAGTCTCAACAAGAAATAAAAGTGTACAGTATGTCTAAGGGTTAAATTCAGTGTAAAGCGTGACTCTCTCCACAAAGCGTGACTCTCTCCACAAAGCGTGACTCTCTCTCTGCACTCACACTGATGACGCAAGCAAGGCGCGCTGGGCCGAATGAACGCCATTCGGCTCAACTCGGAAGTTCGAGTTCCAAATATTTGTTCGGATTCCGAGACAAAAGTTTCTCGAATCTCCTGGTCGAATACCGATTTGGTCGAAATTCGAGGCGTTCGAGAACCGAGGTATCACTGTAAAGGAACGTTCAAACCGCCCAGCTGAATCTCACTCCCAGAAGATAACAGGAGAAAATCCAGATGACTTTGGTGGTGGCGGTGACAACACCGAATACGTGATCCATGGACGAAGTGACTGGCAGCCTGCCCTTCATCAACATCGGAAACTTCTCCTGACAACGAGGTCAGGAAATGAAGAAGACAAGCCACGGGAGGGAATACTTGGAAAAGGTACATCTGATAGAGGACTGTTATCCAAAATGTACAAAAATCCCTTCAAACTCGACAATAAAAAATACAAAAGTAACTAGTTTTATTAAAAATGGGACAAAGACTGTAACAGACACGTCACCAAAAAAGAGGGGCGCACACGAAAGAGGTTCACGCCACACACCATCAGGCAAATGCAAATAAAAACCACAGCGAGGACCAGGACGCACCTGTTCGAATGACCAGCACCAGCACTGACCACGCCCAGGGCTGGGAGGACGGGGCGGCGGGACCTCCCACTCTGCTGGTGGGATGCCCGTGGGGCCACTCAGGGAGACGGCGTGACAGCTTCGTACAAAGTGAACCTTCTCTCGTCACCCAGCCCAGCAACCACTCTGCTTGGTAGTATCCATCCGAGTTAAAAACGTACGTCCACACAAACCTGCACACAGATGTTTCTAGCAGCTGCATTCACAGCTGCCCGTGTGTGACAGCAACCACGACGTCCTCCCGTACGTGGCGGGTAAACCGTGGTCCATCGAGATAATGGGACATTATTCAGCTAAAAAGCAACGGGCTCTCAAACCAGAAAAGACACGGAGGAACCGTGAACGCACACGACTGTGTGATTCCAAACCAATGACATTCAGGAACAAGGCAAAACCAAGGAGACAGTCAATTGATCAGTGGTTGCCAGGGGTTAAGAGGAGGGATGAGTGAGTGAGTAAGGAGGTTTTCAGGCGGTGAAACCATGTGATGCTGTGACCCTGAACCATTTCACGATGTGTGTGTCGGAGTCTGTACAGCGTAGCTCACAGAGAGTGGGCTGTGCTGTGAGCTCGGGCTCCGGGTGAGGGGCTCCCCAAAGGGTCTGAGCGTGGGGCAGGCAGTGCCTGTGGGCACAGAGGGCATGTGGGGACTCGCTGTGCTTTCCGCCCAGCTGTGCTGGGTGCCTGAAAAATAACTTATTAACCCACACGCACAGAAATACACAGCCAAAGGATGCCGACGACAACTCCATAAACTGCAAGGTCAGGAAAAATAAACTTCAATGAATGTGTCACCAGTGGCTGAACCCAGGCGGACACGTGCCGTTCCATCTCCTGCTCTCCCAACTTTTCCTTATGTGAGGAATTTCTCAAAATGAAACTTGAAAAGGGTTTTAGGGTTCATCAGGAGAAAAGGAAGCAGAGCACAGAAAGGATCAATTAAACATTTTAAAGAGTTCATCCCAAAAGAGATGTTGCTCATCTTTGATCAACAAGTTATTTAAAATATTAAATAACTGTGGCCACATATACATTCCCATCATTCCATTTAAGAGAGTTGCTGTTTAGAGTGACCATCAATTTTGAGATTTAAAAAATAAAACTTCGGGTTAGCACTAATACTATGAACAAGTAATTTCTGAAGGCGGTTCGGATAGGAACCGTAGTTGAAGGCTTACTCGAATTCATTAACCGACTAATCCAGACGATAAGTGAACCGTTCACAAGTCCCGAGAAAGACGCATCACCACTAACTTCCAGCAGCAGTTTCCAAACATGTAACAAAACATAAATGTTCTGCCCCCTTCAAACGAGAGAGACCGAGAAAACAGCGCGCTTCTGGCCCCAAGTCCAGGAATGAGCGCGGCGCGCCCAGGATCCACCTGGGACCCTTCCGAGGAACAAATGCTGATCATTCCAAGCGTGTCTCCGAACCTGCAGGGCCGGTGTCTCCGTTTTCCGGAGAAAGGTCACCCGCCTTCTTCCTCCGGACGATCAGACTTAAGACAAGGAGACAGTTGTTACCCAGACAAGTGCTGCTCGCTTGGCACGTCGCTGCGGTCGCCGAGAGCTTTCTGGTCCGGCGGCGGGAGCGCCCAGGGACCCCGGACCCGCCCGCTTCTCCGCCCCGCGCGGGGACTTGCCAGGTCCTAGGCGGCCTCCACCTCCGCAGGAAGCTCGCGGCCCCGCGCCAGCGTCGCAGGTGCCCGGTCCCGGCCCCCGGCCCCGGCCCCCGGCCCCGGCCCCGCGCGGGGTGGTGAACACGGACGGCGGCGGGCCCCGGAGAAGCCTCGAATCCTCACGGGACGCACCCACGTACCGCCACCCGTGCGCCCCGATCCTGCGAGCAGCCCCTCCGCGCACCCCGCCTGCGCGCCGCTGTCTGCGCGGCCCCGGCCTCACCTGCGCGCCTCCCACCTGCGCGCCCCTCACCTGCGCGGCGGCGGCGTCCGCGGCGGGCGGCGGCTCCCCCCTCAGGCCGTCCTCCTCCTCCGGGGGCTCGTCCAGAAGCACTCGGCTGCGGCTCAGCTTCCACATGCTCGGCCCCGGCCCCGGCCCCGGCGTCCGCGCGTCCGTGCGCCCCTCTCCGGCCGGCCCGCAGCGCGCGGAAGGTCGGGCGGCGGCTCCTGCGGGGCCCGGACGCGGCGAGGGGCGGGGCCGGGCGGGCGGGGCCACATCACGCTCCCGGACCCGGACCCGCCCTGCGCCCCCTCCCCCCCAGGCTCCCGACCCAGCTCGGGTCCCCACCTCCGCTCGGGACAGGGTCCCGCCCCCGGCCAGGCCTACAACCCCCGCCCTGGACCCCGCGCCTCAGAGACCTGGCCCCGGACCCAAACCCAACCCGGCCAATCCCCGGCCAGGCCGCCCCCGCCCCCACCCCCGCCCCCACCCGGGGACTCCGCCCCACGGCCAGGCCCCGCCCCGCCCGGGCCACCCAGGACGAGGCCCCGCCCCCACCGCCTACCCGCCCCCACCCCGGGCCGACCCCTCACCCTGGCGTGGGGCGCGGCCATGTCCGCGGGGCGCTGGCGCGGGGGGCGGGGCAGCCGGGCTCCGGTCCCCATGGCAACGGCCGCGGGACGCGGGGCGGGCCAGTGCGCATGCCCACAACCGCCTCCGAGAGGGGAACCGGGGGCTGGAGACGCGGTGGTTGGAAGGTATCTGGAGGCCGCTGGCTCGCCCAGAAAAGTGACGCCGCAGGCCGGTGACCCCTGTGTCCTTGGAGCGAGGTCCACCCGCGCCCAAGGCCTCGGTCCACCCACAGGCGACGCTGGGGCTCCAGGTGTGCGGGGTGCGCGCGCCCGCAGTGCGCCGAGAGCCCTGGACCTGCGCCGAGGGCTCCTCGCGTCTGGCAGGCGGGACGCCGGGGGTTGGGCACCTGCAGGTGCCGCCGAGCCCCAGGAAGTGGAGCAGGCGGGCAGGTGCGTCCCCTGCACCGCCGTCCGCGACAGCCCGGCCCGGAGAGGCGGGTGGCCTGTGTCCAGACCAATGAGAGGAGAAGGAAGGGGCTTTGTGAGTATCCACGTTCAAGTCTCGGCATCAGGGGAAAGGGAGCAAGGTAGCTACACCCGGGCTGGCCAAAGGGAGACACCCGCCCCCCTGGACCAACAAGCACTTGGAGGACGCCCAGTGGCCCCTCCGCAGTGCAGCCGTCCTGGGGCAAGAGGAAGAGGAAACCACTTGGAGGGCTTTCTGACCCAACAGGTGAGCTGCGCTGCACCTGGCGCAGGGAACAGGGGATCCGACAGTCTGCGGTGGGCTTTCTGTAGCTAAGGAGACACTCATGTCACAGAACTGCAGGGACCCAGCCTGCATCCCACCTGGCGCAGAGGGTCCTCTCCCACGTCACCAAAAGTCCAGCAGGAGACCCGTCACCGCTGAAGCACAAGGTGACTTATTTTGTGTAGTGTGTTACACTCCATTATAATCAGAAAAACACAAATTAACGTGAAATGCCGTTTCCCCACCCATGGAAGTCGTAAGGATTTACAAAGGCGTGTCCAGTGTTGGGACAGCGGGAGGAGCCGTGGGAGGCAGCCCCGCTGGTGAGGCTCCGTGGTGGGTATAGTCTGAGCGCCCAGGGTGCCCGGCCCCGTCCCATTCCGGTCAGGTGTAGGCTGGACCCAGGAGGCCTGGTCCCTCCCACATCGATGTTTCTCTCTCCCTCTCCCTTCCTCTCTTCCTAAAAAAATCAATTAAAAAATATTTTACATAAAAACTGTTGGAGGCAGATTGGATCCATTTGTGAGTCTCTCTGAAAGTTGAACGTGCCCACCTTCCTGCCAAGCAGACTAGCTTCTGCAGAGAAACTTCTTTCCAATATCCTTCATATTGTTTATAACTTCACTGGACATTCATGTGCGTCTTGAGTAATTTAAAAATACATTTATAAGGAGATCCCAGAACTGTACACTTCTGTAAACATTTTACTTAAGTATTGCAACTTTACTGCTACTACCAAAAAAAAAAATCAAATGCACCTTTTGGGTTTTTCCAGAGCAATCAGCAAAACGTTGAAGATAAAGGAGTCTCTGAGTTTGTCTTCAGGGGAGAGGCCTCCAGGGGCCTCCAGACAGACCAGTGGTGTCAGGCACAGGGCCTCACAGGGTTAGTGGTCAGGATCGAGGGGCCCAGGGCTCACTGGGATAATCCTGTTTAAACATCAGCCAGACGCGTGCAAAGCAAGACGCCTTCCCCGTGAGCCAAGGATCCCAGATAAGCCGCCACAGGCTCACCAGGGCCCCAATATCTCTGGACCCACCAGGCACAAATATTACAAGTGGATGAAAACCACAGAACACTTATAAAAAATGCTCTACCCAGTAGAAATTAAATTTAAGAACTTCTTCCTCGGGAGATACAAGAATACTGAACATTTTTATAGACACACCTTCTCCAACCAGGTCAAATAGGCACATGCAACCGAGTACACACATGGGCAGTGGTCACTGGATGCATGACCAACACACCGGTCCACTGTCAGAACCACTGCGACAAAGTAGAACCTGAAACAGGCTGCCAAGCAAAGCCGGGGTCGAAACAGCCCTCAGAGACACTGCAAACCACACGGAAAACCGACTCGGGTCTCGTTATTCACACGGGGGCTCGGCACCTGGTCCCAGGCCCCGGCTTCCCCTCCACTGCAGTAGCCGCATTTCTGTGCTTTGAACGTTTCCGTTGTACATGCGTGGTCACCTCCTGCAAATCCGGATGATCCGGGAGAAGAAAGCCGGGCTCACTACGTCAGAAAGCGCAACTCCAGACGGTTGTAAACATTTTGCATCATTTCCAGGGGAGGGGGCGTCAGGCAGTCTCGGATTCTGAGAAGCACTTCTCACAACCCCGGGGGGGGGGGGGGGGGGGTCTGCCTTGGGGGGTGGGGACCCTTGCAGGGCCCTGGGGGGCTGCCTCTGCACAGCAGGCTGGGAGGCTTCTGGGGAGCGGCTGAGCCCGTTTCCATGGGGACCTCCACGCTGTCCCAGCACGACCTCCCTGTCGGTGCCACCGCTTTAGGCCAATGGTTCTCAGCCTTCCCAACGCCCGACCCTGAAACACGGCTCCTCCCGTGTGTGGGCATCTGCTCGTGGGCAGACCTGCCTGGGGACGACAGAGGAGTGGTGTCTCGGTTCCTAAGACCACTGGAAAGATGTGTTTTCCGATGGTCTTAGGCGACCCCTGTGAAAGGGTCGTTCAACCCCAGGTTGAGAACCGCTGCCCCAGTCAGCGCTCATTCCCTGCTGCCACGCGGGCCCTGTGCACGGCGACACCTCCTCCGCCAAACACCAGTCGTCTCCTCAGGGCCTCGACCTCTGGGGCTGACCTCTGTGTCCTGTCCAGCCTGTGTCAGCGCGAACTCTGCTGAGTCAGACGCCCCACCCCGGCCGCTGCCCACCTGCCTCACGAGCATCTCATCGACGGGCCACCCTCAGCGGGACACCTGTTGCGTCAATTTGGACAGAATCCCTCTGACCCGAGATGTTTCCTCCTAGAGGTTGTCCAGCCCCCACTCCTGGGCCCTAAACCCCGAGTCCCTGTGCCCCGCACAGGCCCCTCTGACCGAGGTCCTGCCTTTCAGCTGAGAAACAGACCAGCCTGGGCTCCTCCCAGGGCAGCAGCACCCCTCACGCCCGACACTGAACCGGAAGCGCAGAAAGTGACCCCCCACCCTGCTGTCTCCACTCGGGGCTGGTGGTCCCTCCACCGCAGTTACTGTCCATCCTCCTCATCACAGGTCAGCGCCTTGTCATTAACTCCGGCTTCCTCCTGAGGGGGCCAGGAGCAGAGGGAACACACCGGCCCTTCCAGAGCTTCTCCTATCGTAGTTAACAAGGGTCATATTTGTTTTCTTTCAAATTAAAACTATGTTGAAGGTTATTCTGCATGTAAGTAGTTACATTTATATGCTCTTCAAGCCTGTGACCTGTCAGCACAGGGCGGCAGGGGCCCCGGCAGGAGCCGCTGCCGGGAGCGAGGTGCCGCCAGCCCTGGGCGCTGTGGCTCGAGGGGCTACGCCGTCCCTCTGCCTTGGTGTCTGCAGCGGGGAGGAGAGTGTGGTTCACCTCGTGGGCAGCAGGTGTGCAGAAACCCTGGGCTCCCAGAACCAGTATCAGAAAACGTGTAGTCTCGACAGCAGCCACCCCCAGAGGAGAAGCCATCCTCGCAGTGATGGGGGAGCAGAGGGAGGTGAGGGGCACTGAGGAGCAGGGAATGCTGCTGGGGGCCCGCCCCTCCCCCGGAACCTCCACCTCTGGCCTCCCGTGCCCTCTGCTCCTGCCTGAGGCTCAGGACTGTTCTGGGCTGGCCACTCCTCAGTGGCTTTAGTCAGGCGCCCTGGGAGACAGGCGGAGGGCCCTGTGGCTTTTGCCAAGTCTCACGGTCAGCAGGACAGTGACACCACCTCTGTGGTCTGCACTTGGAGCTTCGAGGGTGCGGGCCCCAGGCGCCCGCGCTGAGGACGGGCTGCGGGGAGCAGGGGCCTGAAGAGCCCTGTTGCAGCCCTCGGGCCGGGGGCAGGCAGTGTGGTCCACCGTCGTCCCAGCAGGGAACCAAGGGCCCAGGCTCCCGGTGCCTCAGTAACCACCACGCAGCCCAGGAGTCGCTCTTCTTGAGAATTCTCTGTTGCAGGGTCTGGGCTGGGGGTCCTGTGAGGGAGGAGAACTTCCCTCTGCCCTCCTGGGTCCTGTGACTGGGCCTGACACTTTTTAAAAAAAGAATGTTTTTCTTTTATTGATTTTAGAGAGAAAAGGAGAGAGAGAGAGAGACAGAAACATTGATGAGAGAGAACGACTGGCCTCCTGCACGCCTCCCACCGGGGATCGGGCCTACAACCTGGGCATGTGTCCTGACCGGGAATTGAACTGGTGACTTCATGGTGCAGGGTTGACGCTCAACCACTGAGCCCCACCTGCTGGGCTGGCCTGAGACTGAGCGGATGAGGGGTAACAGGAGCCCACGCTGCGCGGTGCTCTCCGGCTGCGTGCGCGGCGGCAACACGGGACCCGAAGGTGCAGTTAGTGAGAGGGCTGAGCGGCCGGAGG